GTTTTGGGGGGGGGGGGGGGATGCTATAAAGTCTCAAACTGCAAGAAAGAAGTTTGGTTTAACCAACCAAATAAAAGAATGGTTTTATGTTAAAATCTTTTTTAGTACTTCCTAAAAATATCAAAAGATGGGAAATTGAGTGTCTTAAGAGACTTACACCCTGTTGTCACTTGTCAGATAAAGATCTAAAACAATGAACAAGTTCCTGAAACTTTATTTTTTTTTATATAATTAGTCCTGACTTTTATCTTTTGATAGAGATCAAAGATTAAAACGAAAAATAGTGATACAGACAAAAAACAGAAATTATATTAGACAATCAAAACAAATTATCTATCTAATTTACAGCTGGGTTACATAATATAAATCTTGACTAGAGAGTTTCTATTTTGCTTGGTTCTACACTTAATATGAGAAATTGAACTGTGAATAACAAAATCAATGACATCTCAACACACAAATGGTCACGACTCACGAGATTGTGTGTGCACATGCGCGCGCATGTGTGTGTGCACGCGCGCGCGCATGTGTGTGTGCGTGTGAGAGAAAGAGGTGACCAGAAATTTTCAACTATCCTCTAGTTAAATCCTTTCGATACTTAAATAATATAGTTTTCAAAGTGAAGAACAATGACAAGCAAGTTAATCATGAAAGGGTAATGAAGCAACTAAGAACAAAAATCAGAAAATTATAGCTTTACAAATCTTTCCATCACTTGAATAAATTTACGACAATCTGATGGAGATTATGTTGCATCAGAATGGGTATGGTATGGGTAGGGGGGCGGATATGGGTATGGGTCCAAGACACAACAAACTTGTAAAAGGTAGGCTATGGGTACAAGGCTCATGTTCGAAGTAGATACCCAATCCATCCTTCAAAATCATAGTTTAACAGTGGGATGGACTGAAATGAACCCGAACTGTCTCTATAAGTTTCAAGAAGTGGATGTGAATCATAGGATATACGTCCAAGAAGAGTATGATGAGTGTTTTAAATTAAAAGATGTATTATAATCGAGCACACATGTGATGCATATTGTCAAGGAGTGTCGACAAAGTGTCCAAAGAATGTAAGTGTCCAGTAGATGCTGGGCACAGGTACGAATTCACGATAGAAGTACCCAGGTAACATCGGATGGAGATAAGGGTAATTCAAACTGAATATTTTTTCTTGTGAAAGAAAAATGATAGAATTCCATTTTAGATTTGCAGGTAACATAAGCTGAGTAAAAGTAGTCATTACAAGTACAAAGTCTAAATCTTAAGCCTAGTAAGGAAAGTGACCAGTTACTGACCCATGCAACCAATAAGCAAAACGCAACTGATGCCAATTGATAGAGTTCGTTAGTCTGCAAGAATAAAATGGTCGAAACATCAAAATAGTCACAATAAAGGCATACAAGCACATGTACATGCAAATGAACACATGCCAACATACACGAGCGCACACACACACACAGTATGACAGAGGGTTTCCTTGAATATCTATTTCAACATGAGAACAAACCTGAGATGAAAGGCTTATCATCAGCCTAAGGAAGCAAGGCACACAAGTACGGGACAGTATAGAGAGGATACTCAAAAAAGAGAAAAGCATGATTAACCTGGTAGCAAAATCAATGCTTGTCAAAATTTTCATCTTAACAAATAACAAATTAAGATAAGTATAACACAATAGGAAGATATAAGACCTTATTAAAAAATAACTGAATCAAGAAATGTTTGACTATAAAGCAGATGGTAGTGAGCTTAAATATATGAAGTATACTACCAGTATGTCATACATATACTAGCCACAAGCAGAAGTTATTGAGGATATGAATACAGTAAATCTCCATTAAAAATCATGAAATATTTGAACACATCCAAAGTGGGACTTGAATTAGGAAAACTAAAAAGTATGCACATCCAAAGTGGGACTTGAATTAGGAAAACTAAAAAGTATACATAGTTACTATTACTGAAAGTCTATTCGAGTTCTTCGTAATTGGTATCTTCCGCAGGAAGTCAACATACTTTGAAATGTTTCATTTGTCAATATTTCTGTGCAAATGTCTGTTGCCAGAGTTATTTATAGTATTTTCTGTAGATCAATTTAATATAGTTCCTGATAAATAAGAGTTTATCAGAATTCACAATGAGATATTCCATTTTTTAACACCTTTTTTGGTGGTAGCACCAATATCAAATACCCACCAAAGCAGCTAGATTAAAGACATCTACCTCAGTCGATAATAGTGCCAACTAAAGCCATGATCCATGGACGTGAACATCAGAATCTCTGCTGGCTTTCAGGCTTGGTTCTATGGAATTTTTCTTCAGCTACCAATACAAAATTCGTACCTCTACACTTCTGAGCTGACTTTCATGGTCAACTATCAAGAACTGTCAACTCTACACAATTTCATGAAATAATATCCATAACATATTTTCAGCTTACATGAAAACCTTGTTTTTATTTCCTTTTTTGCTAGAAGCTTACCTGAAAACCTTTTACTTCATTCTGAATGTTCATGTGGGCTAAATGGACTAAATGTATTGAGATTCGATGATAAAATAACACAGTGGAGTTTACTTAACAGTTCTCTGAAATTATGTTATGTGCTTAAGAACATGCTTGAGCACTCAACTTTAGCTCATAATAGTTTCAAGGGGAACATGCCAGTTACATGTTAGCCTCCATATCCTCGGTATTAGTTATCAGCTGTACGATCTAAAGTGAACACTTTACACTTGATACCATATGAGCTGACAGGAATCCTGCATGGATGCCGCAGAGTGTGATCCCATGCTTTGGAGCATGCAGCTCCAACTATATTCTCAAAGAATGCCCCCTATTTCATTTACCCACTTGCATTGTATGGCAGATGGTAATTCATTTACTAGTTTCTTTTGTTCACGATTCTAGCTCCAACTACACCATCAACCAATGAGAAAACAGAAAGAACCTGTACAAATACAACAAACACTATCTATCTCAAAAAGGGACCCAGCAACTTATAGAATGCCCATATTTACTTCAACTTATCAGGATGATACAGGAGGAAAGTTAGACCACCATGTGGTGAAAGAAAACTTAGAAATGATGGAATAGCAAAGGGAAGATAAAGGTTTCTCTTGAAAGAACATCACTGTCCTTAGAAATAACTAAATGAAGCAGAACCTGACACACAATCTATCGTATTGTCGCTGCAAGTTAATAATCAGTGAATCATGTCTATAGGAAATAATGTACCAGCTGAATTAAGAAGCAAAAAGTATATGTTACTTCAAAGTTAAGAACTACTTCTACACGAAGAACAAAAATCAATGAAATTGCACCACTTACGACTTGGACATTGATACAACTCCTTGAAATACACCAGAAGTGCCACACAGAACTGGAAGGAGAGCAAAAAGCAAGCCAACAGCACAGTCCTAGAGAGAAAGGCAGAGCCAAATAAGAATGTGCTGATTTTTTGATACTCGACAATCTGCTAAATTTATGGTTCATGCATTTCATCGAATTTTTTCCTAATGTACTCGGCAGTAAATCCTTTTACCTGGAGAATCAGGGTACCAACTGTAACTTGCCCATGTAGAGCATTGATGCTGTTTCTCTCCGATAGAAACTTCAACACCTGTACATGTATGAAAGAGATGTGCATAATCAATAGTTTCCATTCAGATACCAGTTTTGGGCTCCAACATAGTTCCTAGATTTTCTTCTTCTTCTTCTTTTTCCCACTTATGAGAACCACCAAATCAGTTGAAAGTATGGTGCATTACAAGAAAAGAGAAATGTATACTAAACTATTTGGAAGACTGACTTAAAAGAGCTTAGACAATGTAGCTTGAACAGGCTACTAGATGAAGTAATCAAAGGTCATACCTGTAAATATGGAGCTAATTCTTTTTTCAGAGAGCATACAAGTTGAAGGAGAGGAAATAGGCAAAGGATAGAAAAATATGGTGTCAAGACAGAATTAGTTGCATTCGAGCAATGATGCGCCTTACTGAAACAATTACCCGTAAAATATCAATCTAAATCTAGAAGACATCACACATCTTAAATATTTGAACACTAGAGTGTTGACATACTAGCAGATTTATTGCTCTATTTTATGCATAAATTGCTTTGTTTTCTAAAGATTAATATAATATTACAAAAGAAGCACATCCTCAATGCAAAATTCAAATCTAGCCCTCTACAAAATAGGCTTTTGCTACCTTGAACCAACTACAAATTTTGTAATTTGTTGTGGTTCTAAGAACCTGGGAATCCTTGCAGGATAGGCACTTGAAAAAAAAAATCCGTACAAACATGATACATGACCATATATACAAGCTCCAACCCACAATAATAAATAACCATAACTATAACTGTTACGATCAATTACCCATCAACATCTCAAGGAAGTTTCACACTAACTATACATTCTACCAAAATATTAAAAATATAACAAGACCTTGAACATACCACAGCTGTTGATGACATCGATAAGAATGTGCCGACAAATAACCCCTCTGAAGTTTTACCCCTGAATAACTGCAAAAAATTGTGCATTTTACATAAAGGAAAGGGGATGTCCAAAAAAATGCACTTGATGAGATATAACTCTTGACATATTATAGATTTTAGCAAAGCAATGCTCTAGACATCTTAAAAAATCATGAAAAAGCAAACCTTAGACGAAAGAGTTCGACTAAAATCAAATGCTTTCGGCTAGCAGTACATCATGAGTAATAGCAATAAAGCAAGAAAGATAAAATCATCCTTTCGATCTTTCACAACCAAACCCGGTCATTGTAAAAGAGGAAAAGCTGTAAGTTAAAAAAGTGTATATCTAGACCACAAAATTAATATCAAACTTAGGCCCATGGAACCTGGCCTTGATCTACCTAAAATTATGTCAGCAATTAAATACTTAAATTGGAGAGCTTGTGTTTACATACAGTACTAAGAATTTCAAATGAGGATAGTAACCTTAATATATGTAAGCATAAAAAAGTTATCTCCAGTCAACTTATTTTTTAATGAACTAGGCTTGATTAGTTAAGAGACAACAAGTCCAGTGTTTTTAAAGGCGCTCCCGAGCGCAGCGCGCTCGAGCGCAGAAGCGATAGGGCGCGATGCGGATTAGCGCCCCGCCGCCAGGTGCGGCGGCGCACTACACTTGCGTCCCGGCGCGGAGGTGGGGGGATGCGGGCGCACTGCGGAAGCGCGCCACCGCACGCCCTGGCCGCCGGTTCGTCGGACTGGGCTGCCGGGGAGAGCAAGCCATTGAGTACAGGCATAATTCCACTTTTATTTTGTGGGTTATTGGGTATGAACCCGCTTCCCCCACTTAAACCCGATTTCGTTTTTAGGGTTTCAGTCGCTCGAACTCGCTCCTTCTCCCATCCTGAATCCGGATTTCTTCGCTCGACTTGATTCCCCAACTTCGACAGCAGCATGCGGCCGACGGGCGACTGCTAAAAGCGTGACTGACGATGGCTAGCGCGAGCGGGCGCGACAGCCGAGCAGCAAACAAGTGCGTTTTCTTTCTCTCAGCGATGATTTTCTGTCTCCTTTTTTTTTTTTTTTCATTTTTGGTCGTTTCTTTTTTCTTTCTTTTCTTCTCAGCGAGAAGGTCTGTTCAACGTCTCAGGCCCGATGTTTTTTTTTCTTTTTTTTTCGGTTTTGAGTTCTCTTTCGTTTTTGAGTTCTCTTTCTCTGCTCCTTCCCGATGTTTTTTTCTTTTCTTTCTTTCTTTTTTTTTCTTTTCGTTTTTGCGTTCTCTTTCTCTGCTCTCAGCGTTGTTTTTTTCTTTTCTTTTTTTTTTCTTTTTGCGTTCTCTTAATTAAGGAGTAAGGACAGCGAGGTATTTTCTTTTTTCTTTTCTGATGTTTTAAAATCTGAGTTTTTAGTTGTTAACTGTTAAGTGTAAAATGTTAATTAAGTTCACTCTTCTAAACTTGATTTGAATCATTTGATTTTATTGTTAACTAACTTATAAAGAGAGATTTAATGTTAACTAACATAGCCTTCCTAGCTGTTAATTTTTAATTTAATTTATTTTATTATTATCGCTCTTGACTATTAACTGTTTTTTTTCTTTGGCTTAATATCAAAATGCAAAGTCATGATATTATGAACTAATTGCTTGCTTCTTATTAATACATATCAGCCATAAATGTTGAAAATTTTCAAGCTTATTGATGTAGTACTAATTTTACAGCTACTATTTGATTTCTTGTGCGGGACTGCTAGTATTTATTCTTGCTATTTGAGCTAGGTGTAGTACTACTGGTTGAAACTTGAAACTTGATTCGCCATTTGTAACCTGGAAAGAGGAAAATAAAATTTAGCAATATAGTTGTTAGTGATGCAATATACTAGAGATAAAAGTTTGAATAATTTGCATGATTGAATGATTTGTTAGTAATTAGTATATATTTTATTTATCTGGAGTCCTTGACATTTTTATGTGAAATTTCACAAAAATATATATTTATTCATGCATATAGTATATCTTCAAAAATTTTGTAGTATGGAGTGCGCCTCGCTTCGCTCGGGCGCGCGCATCGCATTGCGCCTTGCGCATATGCGTGTAAACTGACTTTGCGCCCCGCATTGCGCCTCGCGCATTGAAAACACTAATAACTACCTGCAGAATGTATTTGCTTCAAGCATTAACATACAAAGACCAATTTAAGAAACATTTTTTCTCTTCTTTTTACTAAATGTTAGCAAAGTGGTTACTGCAAAAACAATGAACTAAAAGCCTAGAGCATACCGAGGCAATTACACCACACAGGCACATAAACAACAAAGTTTGCAATAGCCCTCCAAGAATAGCAACTGCTCGGACAGCACGTAGCTTGAAAAATAGAGAGAAAAATCAGCTATCCAACAGTAGGATCTAAGAATTCTTAAAGGCAGCCTCTGCAAGTTTGGGGAAAATAGGAGGTAATTCCTAAAACATACCTTTGCTGTCGAGAACTCCAGGCCCAATGCAAAAAGAAGAAATATTACACCAAATTGAGCAACAGTTTCCACCTGCATGTAGAAGTATCAATGAGAGCCTGAAGGTAGCTCCATTCAATTCAGATGGATGTACCTAAAATGTATAAAGTAAAAGCATTGAAGCATTGACATAACAACATTCCACAAACAAGATAAAATAAGAAATCGAACCAGAAATAACTGCTTTTCGCATCCAGATATAAAACTGCATGCAGATCCATATATAAAAACGCATACATACATTTGTGTATGTGCGCTTGTGCTACACACAGGGAGGGACACACCCACGCACACACTCACACATGCATATGCACACGCGCGCACGAACACGCGTAGGGGTGGGACTGAACTAAATAAATTAACAAATAGTTCAACATGTATACGCACACGCGCGTGCGCACGCGTAGGGGTGGGACTGAACTAAATAATTAACAAATAGTTCAGTTGTTATTCATCCAGACATTTGATTTGATAGTTTATATAACAATAAACGAATAATTTTTTATATTCGGTTCATAAAAGAACAGAATATAACCAAACATATATTCGATTCACTTGTTTATTAAATATTCATTTATGATTTATATTTATTATAAATGATAGATTAGACATTTGTTAAAACTATGTAATTAGTTTTAGTTGAGGTGTAACATGGATGGAAAAAGCAATTTAAAGGAAAATCAACAATTATAATGCTTTAGAGGGTACATTTCCAAATATATACAAATTGGAGGGTGTGTATGCAGAAGTCACCAAACAAATTATGGCAGAAAAATTTGTGCCAAACCAGGGCTTGAAAAAGGGACCAGTTGTCAAGGAAGCTAAGGCCTCAACCAAATATCCTACTGGACATTCGTGAACAATTACAGAATACATAGTATATGTATCAAACTGAATATGATTAGCATTGTGGTACGCGACCTGAGTTCAAATTCGAATTCGAATATTTGAAATCCATTCAAATTTGAGTGCAAACATCATGATATTTGATTCGATTCGATTTGGTTGTTTTCCACCTCTACACGTACATAGACGTACACACATGCACCCACGCACCTGCGCAGACACACACGCAACCGCCCCTGCCCCCATATGTGCATGCACACGCATACACTGTTAGTGTAGTATCACCTAAGTTAACTGAAAACTAAAATCCAGTGTTTTAAGCCTAATTTTATTTGGGCTTTTCTGGATAGTAGTCCTAACAATTTTCATAGACATTTATCCCTCAAAACATTCATACATTGTGTGTGCGCACGCATGCGTCTTCAATTTTCATAGACATTCATCCCTTAAAATTTGCATACATTGTATGTGCATGCGCGTCTTTATCTATTGTCGGTGCTAAATCACCTACACTAAATGAAGAGTCCTGCTATAGATTTTGAAACATCCGTTGGTACAGAAGTTTACCTTGACCTCTCTTAGTCCTTATTTTCCCACCCATTTTCCCATTACAGTTTGCAATTAACCAAAAAATTCAGCAAATTATGTTGATTAACAATAGCATATAAAGGTGAGCATATATATAACAGAATCATTAAATCAGCATAGTCGCTGCAGAATTCCCTATCTCGGATGCACAGAAGAGGATAACAATACAGCATAAAAGTTCAAGCACCTTACTTGCACCATTTCGCTAACAAAATTAAAACCTCCTGGTCCAATAACAGATCCAGCAAGTAAATAACCAGTGATCACCTGCATAATTTTAAAGTATGTTACCCACAACTTTTGCAGAAGAAAATTGGTGATTCTTAAGTTGGTTTCCTTTTTTTATAATAAAGTAAATACCAAAAAGATGCATTTCTAACTGTTTTCAACGAAATTTATTTAATTGGGAAATTAATTATCTAGTCCAAGACAGACCGGTTGTCCAGCACAGGCGAAGGCAATGCCACCACAAGTTGCAGAGACAATGACTGCCACGAGATCGGATATCAACCTGCAAAAAAGGAAAAAACGATATACATCATTCAAACAATCAAATACCTTAGTGGTAACAGCACGTCCAAAAGATATACCTAAGATCCAACTTTAGTACAGGATATTTTGATTTTGGATTTGATATGATGAACACATTATCCTGAAAAAAAAAATTTGATCAATATGTTAGCTGAGATCTTACAAAATAACAAATAGGCGTGGATTCAGACAGCTGCAATAACCTAATATATTAAAGACCACATGTAAAAATCTTGGTGTACCTTGCGATCAATCAATGTTGGGATGTCTTCTTGTCCGTTCTCATTATCCAAAGTAAAAACATCATGAAGCTGAAACGGCCTGTTAAAAGAGATACCAATAGTTGAGTACTAATTAGAACAATCAAAAGCCACTAAACCAAGTACTATAGGCATATAAATTATTTCCAGGAAGTAGCCAATTTTTAGATATGTGTGGGTTCACTTGATAGAAGCATATACTTCTCCTCTTTGCTGTCATTTTTCTTCGAGGTAACTCTAGCTACTGTTTCCAAGACTGCCTAGAAAAATATATAAACAAAAAGAAAAAGAAGAATCAGTAAGATTTAACTAGTGAGCTGAGAAGCATGTGTGTAGGAGGAAACTGAAATTTCATAGGAAATTCACGTGCAGAATAAGAGCTCTACTTTTAACAAGCTAAAAGAAAAATAACATTTCTGATATTTTTGATATATTATTATAGCATATCATTGAGAGAACAGAAGCAAGTATCATATCAGAATTTTATTAACTAAGAGTACTTTCACAAAACTATCATGGACTACGAGTGGCTTTGTAGAAATTTGTCCTAAAGAGAAAACCATCACAAACTTTTTTCACTAAATTATGATGCCTAACCTCTGTGAAACTTATCTCTGGGTAAATTTTGCCTCATTTAGTCTATATAACTACTCTCTCATCTTCACGCCCTTAACAGTGTAATAGGGGTACTCTAGTCTTTTTAATGGCGCCATTAATTTCAAATGAGCATGTTATTTTCCTCCAATAATAATGCATTAGAACAAGTGTACAATCGAGTAGAAATAATTACGAAGAATAAGCATGAGAATAAACGACAAGCAATCGCAAGTGATTTACGTGGTTCACCTAATTTGGGCTACATCCACGGCTGAGGCGTTGGAGAAATTTCACTATGAAAATAGAAAGTACAATCTCTCAACGCAAAATCCT